ATATTGCAAATTATTTATCTCATTTTGGTTCAATAAACTATCAGTATTATTTTCACTATATTCACTATTGCTTGATTCAATTTCATTATTAATACATTTTTTACTTTTTGATCTTAATTTAGCAATTACTAATTCAGATTCACTTTCTAATTCACCATCAGCTACTAATTCAGATTCACTTTCTAATTCAATATTAACTTATAATTCAGATTTATTAATTGATTGTAAAGAAGTTTGATTTTGAATGCCAAATAGATTTTCTGCATTACAAAATGATGAACCACAATAATAATCGATAGTATCCAAGTATGCAATTAATAAATTTTTTTCTTGTTCATTTAATTTTTGTTTAGAATAAAACAATCACCAGCGTTCACATTCTGAACACATAACTGTTATACCAACATTTTTTGCTCTTTGCGCTGTACCATTAAATAGCATACTGTTCTTCAATTTTAATTGAGATTTTTTGTTATTTTTACTATTTACAAGTGATGGATGATAAATTTCAGTAGTGCTATTACCATATATATCATTTAAAGTAGCATAATGATCATTTTTTCCAGGAATAGGATCGGGAAAGTGATGAATTTAGCTAAAAATATCTTGTGGAAGCCTTGTAGGTTTGCAAATAGTGCATTCTTCCTTTCCACATTTTTTAATTGAAAAAAAATAATGTCTTGACCGACAACAATGATCAAAAAATGCTTTAAATTCAATCTAATAAAATAAAACAATATTAAATAATGATATAATAAAATTAATATATTCTATATTTAAAAAAATAAAACTTTTTGCAAAAGAATCAGACATTCCTGTTATTTAAAAATAGGTTCTAATACTAGTTATTATTAAGAAATTTACTTTATTTTTAATAGTTTTCCATGTTTTATCAGATTTTAATATAGATTTATCTAATTTTAAAATTGCATCAAATATTTGATCAATATCTTCAGTTGTTGCAGCATTTATAGTTGTAAATGGCTCATCTTTTAAATTTTGGCGAGAAAAAATACTATTTAAAAGTTCTTTTACAGGTAGGTTGTAAACTATTATTTAATTCTTGTTTAAGATTTGGATAATTTTTAGCTGCTTCTCTAATATTTTTAATTGAATTACAACCTTCTAAAATTTTTTCAAATTCTTGAGACATTTTTTTGTGTATTAATCCAACACATTGAAGCCCAAGATTTAATATTGACATAATTCTTTCGACAGGATTTTTCCAAGAATGACCTGATGGAGTTCTTACAGCCACTAAATAATCAAGATCAAGAGACAAATAACAAGAAATAAGAGAAATTTGAACAGATAAATAATTAACACGATGATCAGAGCCTCCATCTATATACAAAAATAAAATTGACAAATTTATATTATGATTTTTAATAATATGATAAAGCTCTGTTGAATGACGTAAAGGAGATGATGCTTCAAATATAGGATCTTTTAAAGCTATAAATACATGACCTTTATAAAATGAATTATTAATTGATTCTGGTATATTGCATCTTATTATAACACTAGGAAGAATTTCAACTTTAGTAAAATCATGATCACTAACTAAAAAAGTTTCATTTAAACCAACTAAAACTTGCTTTCCACGTTCTACTGCTGCTACTGGATATCCAGGTTCATCTACTTTATAGTGATATTTATCATCAAGAAAATAAAATAAACAATATTCATGAAATTTTACTGCCAATTCTTTTTGATATCGAAAAAGTGCTGAAGCATAATGTGTATCAGGATAATTTATATGAAATTGTCAAATTTGAACCATAAACTTTAAATTTAATTAACCAGTATATTGTAATATATTTAAATTATAAGGAGATTTGGGCCAAAATTGTAATCGAACCTATTGATTACATGGAATTGGTGTTTCAGGAGGATACAATACAGTAACTTGTTGTATAAAACTATTAACAGAAATTGCTCTGGCTAAATAAATTACTGAACTGTGTCTACAATCATCAATAGCAAGCAATAAATCTGCAGTACTAGCAAGAAAATCTTGTGCTACTTTCCAAAATACTTCATAACGTGTTGGTGCACCAGAATTATGTTCTCGCAAATCAGTAATAATTTTTGGATTACCAATTTGTAATGCTAATTTAATTCTACTATCTACTTCTTTTTTATTCTAATTTTTAGCTATAGTATAATCATTAGTTAAGTCATGATATAGTAAACGCAGTGCCATTGGTTTAACTGAGCCTAATAGAGTTTCACATTTAGATCTCCAAAGTTTGCGCATTGCACATGTATGATAAATATGTATATCTTTTTCTAATAATTTTGCTATTTCAAAATTGTGTGATATTATCTCTGAATTAGATGCAGTTAAAGGTATACGCCATAAATATATTACTAAACAACTATGCTTACTATCATGTATATATTGTGCCAATTTAAAAGGTAATCCTTTGTCTAATTCTTTAATATATCGATGTTTTG